CCCAAAAAATTTATAGCATCATCATGCATCACTCTTAAAAATTTAAGTCGTTAGCTAATTTATAATTTCGCTTTAGAGAGATCATGATAAATTTGAAAATTATCTTTTAAAATAACAAATTAATTATATTTGCACGAGAATTATGTATGATTGATTTCCAATCAACTATTAATATTAGTTATTGATCCTCACTAATAAAAGCCATCCAAGGATACCAATGTGATGTTGGTCCACCCCTCCAAGGTAAGGGTGCATTTTAGATGGTTCAGCCTGAGCAATTCGAGTTTAAGTCTAATTTTTTTTATAATTTGGATAAAATATTTTTAAATTCGGTATGAGTTTAGATAAAATTTCTGAAATTCAAATTAAATTTGAACGAATTTTGATAAAGATATCAAACAACCCGAAATCTGTTATATATATAGATATATAAAAGGATAAATTACAGATACACCCCCTAAGATTTTATTAAAATACAAATAGTCCCCTGTGATTTTGAAAGTCACATTTCACCCCTGAGATTTCTAACTTCACAACAAATTGTCCCTTTTATTAATAAATCATCAAGTCAATTAATAATTTTTAATGATGTCAAAAATATATTTTAATTAATAATTTAGGTAATTTTATATTATTTGGGAGAGCAATTATGAATTTTATTTTTTTAATTAATTCTGTTAAATAAAAAATTCTAATAAGGGAGTATTTGTAATTTTTCAAACTACATGGGCTAATCTGTATTTTAAACAAAACTCAAGGGGTGTATTTGTAATTTACCCTATCAAATATAAATTATATAAACTAGTAACACAATACAAAATCTTACATTTTTTTTTTATTTTCACTCATAAATTGTAAAGATTACAAATTATTTGTTTTGATGTTATTAATGATTTTCTAACAAAATGCAAATAAAGTCTAATTTTAACAAATTAATAATTTAGCCACGCACACGTACACCAAAAAATAAAAATTTTTAATTAATTCTGTTAAATAAAAAATTCTAATAAGGGAGTATTTGTAATTTTTCAAACCACGTGGGCTAATCTACATTTTAAACAAACCTCAAAGGGTGTATTTGTAATTTACCCTATCAAATATAAATTATATAAACTAGTAACACAATATAAAATCTTTCATTTTTTTATTTTCACTCATAAATTGTAAAGATTACAAATTATTTATTTTGATGTTATTAATGATTTTCTAACAAAATGCAAATAAAGTCTAATTTTAACAAATTAATAATTTAGCCACGCACACGTACACCAAAAAATAAAAATATATATATAAATAAAATTAAATTTATTTACGATTCGGACAATTTAAATAATTCGGGTTTAACTCGACTGGCAATTCCACAAACACATTGAGTTACAATTCGAGCTTAACTATGTTTCAACCTAACTTAAGCTGAGTTTGAATAGTTTCTCAACCCATCCAAATTCGCGTAAGTTGCACTCCTACTCCAAGGTCAGATTCTTCAATCTTAGCCAATTTGCTCAGCTTTACTATGCTCGACCACTGGTCTTTCAGTGCTAGCTATGGCCAAGTAAATTTATCTCTATCAAATATAATAGTAATATTATTCTATTTCTGATACATCAGATTCACTATTCTCAATTGTAATTTTTTTTTTTTCTAAATAATAATATCATGTGCCGGTTGTGATTGATATCACTTCTCTATATGTTTTTTTTGTGCCGGGGTGTTTGGAAACTTAGGGGTTGTTTGGGATAAATTAAATAAGTGTATTTTTTATTAGAAAATGTCTCGTAACTTAAATTTTGTGGCTCGAAAGCGGCTCAAATGGCCAAAACGACATCGTTTTGACCATTTTTATGTTATTCTGTACTCAAAACGACGTCGTTTTGGCTATTTGAGCCACTTTTGAGCCACAAAATTTGAGCTACGTAGCATTGTCGTTTTTTATTTTTTATGAAATATGGGTTGAGTGTGAATTGGGATTGAAATGATGTGGTAGAAAGGTGATGTGACTTAAATAGGATAGTGATTTTTTGACTTTTTTAAGTTATACCTTAGTTTTTGGATTTTTTTTTTTTTTTTTTTTTTTTCACTATAAGACAAATATTTTACAAAATCAAAAAAAAAAAAACAAATCCAAACAAAATATCACATCAAATCCCATAATCATTTCACTTTTTCTCTTACAAACATTACATTCAACCACAAAAAAAAACCAACTATCTTTTCAAAAATAAAAAAAATTTCTCCAATAATATCCTATAACTAAAAAAACCTACAAAAAAAACCCCACTTCCCAAACACCATGTGAAAAACAAGAAGCATAAGTTTTTAGTTGGTTTGTTAATATATATATATATATATATTGTTATAGGAAAATCCTTTCACTTTCTCACAGATCCAGGGTAATGTTCTTTGCAGAGATCACCAAGGTGCTTATTGTCCGTTTTGAGAAAGGAGACTATAACTTGGAAACTTACCCCAACCTCCCTAGACAAGCTTCACTTAAGTTAGGATTCGCACAGACCTCCCAAGACAAGCTTCACTTAAGTTAGGATTCGCACAGAACTCCCAAGACAAGCTTCACTTAAATTAGGATTCACACAGAAGTCAAGACTTGTACAGCTGGGAAGTATTGGACCCACACCAGATGCTGTGGTAGCAACAACTTGAGAATAACCTTCTAACTAACTGTGCTACCTCCAGGAGATTGGCCCAATGAAGTTTTGAAACTGGGACTTAAAGACTTAATCCCAAGGCCTTTGCCAAGTTACCAACCACCCATATGTTATTGATGTATGTTTTCAACAAGGTCGAGGATTTTGTCAACAAGCTTACCAATATGGAGTGCATAATGCTTCATTACTGTAAACAAGTCCCCCTTCATATGGTATTGATGTATGTTTTCAACAAGGTTGGGAATTTTGTCAACAAGCTAATCAGTATGGGGTGAATGATGCTTTATTACTGTAAACAACCCCACCTTCATATGTTACTGATGTATGTTTTCAACAAGGTTGGGGATTTTGTCAACAAGCTGACCAATATGGAGTGAATGATGCTTTATTACTGTAAACAAATCAACTCGCTTAGGGGTGTAAATCTGACCCGGCCAGGGGTCCACCCTAGCTCAGGCACGGCCCAACCCATGTCGGGCCTCGCGGGTTCCCGCCAAAATTTGAGTCAGGTCGATCTGGGTCACGGGCCAAAAAACTAGACCCAGACCAGGGATATTCGGGCCTTAGGCGAGCCAGACCTCCAGCCTGGCTACGGACTTGGTCGGGCCTGACCATTGTTTTTTTGTTTTTTAAAATTTTTCCTACTAAAATTTTATTATTTTCCACTAAAAAAGATACTGGGGCTCGGGCAGACTAGTTTTCGGACCAGGCTTTAAGTGGGCCAATGAGTCAGGCCAAAGGATCGGGCCGAGATTTAAAATGATGGCCCACGGCTAGGCCCAAGGGCTCAAGCTGAGCTAGGGCCTAGGCCCAAACAAGCCACTCCGGTCTGAGTCACGGGCTAAAAAACTAGACCCAGACCAGAGATATTCAGGCCTTAGGCGAGCCGGACCTCCAGCCTGGCTACGAACTTGGGCGGGCCTGACCATTTTTTTTTGTTTTTTAAAATTTTTCCTACTAAAATTTTATTATTTTCTACTAAAAAAGATACTGGGGCTCGGGCGGACTAGTTTTCGGGCCAGGCTTTAAGTGGGCCGATGAGTCAGGCCTATGGATCGGGCCGGGATTTAAAATGATGGCCCATGTCTAGGCCCAAGGGCTCAGGCTGAGCTCGGGCCCGGGCCCAAACAAGCCACCCACAGGCTACAGGCCATTTTAACACTCATTCCCCCCCCCCAAAAAAAATAGCATTAACTTTTTTTTTTTTTTTGGGAGCTAGGTACTAATAGTTTACTTACCAAAAAAACTAGCTAAATTTCACTTTGTATCCCTATGTTTGACATTGAATTTAATTTTAATTTTTTATTTTTCAATAATAACAGTCAACTATTGTACTTTATGTCAAATTGTAACTTTCTTTCAGTTTTGTGTTAATAAGATTGATGGAATTTATCCTATGAGCAATACGTGACATTTTTCTCATCTCATTGACACCCTACACTTTTACTAAAATGTCACTTTAGTCTTTACACTTATACCAAAGTCTCATTTTGGCCCTTCAACTTTTAATTAATGGTAGATGGATGAAAAGACGATATTGCAATTTGAATTAAAATATGCCTAATTGATTGACACAATTCAAAATAGAACAACGAAAATAAATTTTTATGTAAGTACAAGAATGCTGAGAGGAATTAATTAAAAATAATTAGAGAAAATTTCATTTTTTTTTTTTTTTTGATAATTGAGTGTCTAGGCCAATATCCCTTCGGAGTGTCGTGCCTCAACTAATCTCGGGACCCTGAGCTGATTGACGAGAAAATTTCATTTTAACTTCCAAACTTTGCCTCGATAATCAATTACACACCCAAACTTTAAATAATTTCAATTTTACTCTCAAATTTTTAAAACTATATCAATTTACTCTTTACCATCACATCTAAATAGAAAAAAAATTTTAAAAAAAAATATATTTTGATCTTAAATTTCAAATTATAGATTCAAACTTACTGTTTTCTATTCGACAATGCTACGTAGCTCAAATTTTGTGGCTCAAAAGTGGCTCAAATACTCAAAACGACGTCGTTTTGAGTACAGAACAACATAAAAATGGCTAAAATGACGTTGTTTTGACTATTTGAGCCACTTTTGAGCCACAAAATTTGAGTTACGAGACATTTTCCTTTTCTATTCAAACTCACCCTCTCTCCTCAGCTAGCCCCGCTCATCCATCTGCCACTGCAAAAACAAGTATACCTTAACAACAAAAACCGATAAAGCTTTGTAGCTCGAAATTATTTGGCTCGAGTAGCTCGAAAAACATCTTCTCTTCTCTCTCTCTCATCTCTGTTTCGAACAACTACCTTTATCCAAAGCCAAAAACCATTTTTTCATCTGAGATTACGCTCACCTCTACTCTCTCATCTTAGATCACGCTCACGCATGCTCAGCAGTCTCTTATCCATGCTCACCTCTACTCAGCAGTCTTTGATCCTATCCTAGATCTCTGTCATACCTCTCACCTCTTAACGCTCTGTGATCGACGACGAAAGAAGACGAATGATGACGAACGAGGATGAACGACGGCGAACGGGACCGAACGACGGTGAACGACACGAAATTTGAGGTAAACCTACAAGAAAATCAAAATTTCTGAGGTAAACCTAAAATCTCAAATCTAGGATTTACGTTTCGGCTTCAATGTTTGTGAAAATTAGGCTATTAACTTCTTTGATCCCTCTCACCTAGGAGGTAAACCTAAAATCCCAAAATAATTTTTGTAAAACCATGGGTTATCCCAAATTCTGTTATTAAGGTATTGGTTCTTGTGATACTGTTTTATGAAGTTTTGAATTTGTACTGTGATAGATTTTAGTTTCATTTTCTGTTGAGTTAGTTCTGAGATTTGGAATATGAATTATATGGTGTTAGTTTGATTTGGAATATGGTGTTAGTTTGTTTGATTTGGAATATGGTGTTAGTGAAAACAGAAAATGAAAATGAAACAGAATATGGTGTTTGTTTGATTTGGAATATGAATTATATGGTGTGTCACGACCCCAAACCGCCCCTAGTAGTTTGGTGCCGTGATGGCCAGCAATCCGTAATCACCGAAGGCCAACTTTCAAAAACTAAACACAATCAGAGTATAATAACGGGGCTCACAAATGCGAAAGAAATAAATCAAAATACAAGTGGTCCATAAGAGCTGTGTATAGATCAGATGCAATGTCATTCATTTGTACAACTTGAATACAGCCAAGCAAAATACATATTACATCTTGATCAAAAGGCTTCTCGAGCCGACATATACAAAATACAATAAAAATACAAGTCAAGAAGCATGATTTTCAAGATGTGCCGACATAATCATGAGTCCAAAACAAGCTATCAAAACAGTCTAGGCGTCGCTGACGTCCTGCCCATCACCTACATATATATAGAGAGGGGTGAGCACAAATACTCAGTGAATGGTACTAATAATAAAGGTTTGCATGAATAAAGCCGGAGTCCTTTATTTTAAAACAAAACACCTCAAAACTTTATCGAACAGGGGATGAACCGTATTCATCAATCAAATGTCACAACATCGGCGAAGCAAGGGATGAACCGTATTCATCAATCAAGTATCATAACATCGGCGAAGCAAGGGATGAACCGTATTCATCAATCAAGTATCATAACATCGGCGAAGCAAGGGATGAACCGTATTCATCAATCAAGTATCATAACATCGGCGAAGCAAGGGATGAACCGTATTCATCAATCAAGTATCATAACATCGGCGAAGCAAGGGATGAACCGTATTCATCAATCAAGTATCATAACATCGGCGAAGCAACTGCGAAAGTTTAGAGTCCTCCAGCACAAGGGACTTGTGTTACTTAGGCCCGTAGCCCGATTTAACAAGGACCGTATCCTTTTATACTTGGCACTTTAGAGTCCTCCAGCACAAGGGACTTTCCAAGGATAACAATCAAAACAAGGCTATTCATTCATGCTTAGTAAATACTTTCATCAGACAAAACAAAGCAAGATTTATCAAAAACAAGTGTAACATAGCTTTATTAGAAATACCACTCACCTAGTTCTTCAGGTGTAGACTCAAAGCAAATATCACGGACCTACAATCACATGGCAATCGCATTCTCAAAACAAGTTTCATGTGCATGCAAGTGATCTCGGCATCCATGCGAGATCCAAGTCAAAATCAAAGCAAAACATGCTGGGAGCTTAAACACTGCTCTCGTCCCATGAAAACACACTGGGCACCGTCTAGGATTATGCCGAGGTCCCATCAAACAAAGTCGGGAAAAACCTGGGTTTCCCTTTGGAGAATATGAAGAACATGATCATTTGGAAGATAGATGCAAGTTCACAACTTGTTACAAAAATCTGAGTTTCATGCCAAGAGTTCAAAACATGGACCTGGGTACTCACGCAAGAAGGTCATGCAAGATCAAACACAAAACATGATTTTCGTTCCAAACTTTCGGATCAAAGTGAGACTTTCTTCAAGAACATATGAAAAACCATTTTCTCTTTCCAAAACCAACTTCAAATCGATGCATGGCATGCAAAACAGATTCGATCATGCAATGCAGCTAGATGATCAATAACAATAATCAAAGGAGATCAAGATTCTAACCTCAAAACTCGAATCCAACGGATCAAACCACAAAGATCAAGCTTGGAAGACTAACTCTCACTCAAGAACTTATCTTCCTCCTCTCTAGAGCTTCTCTCTCTAAAACAAAGATTTGAGACAAAATGATTTGTTTCTAAGTCTGTCGGCTGCCTTAACAATCAGCTCGGACACGTGGTGCTATCGGGTTGGTTCAACTCGAAAAGGTGATTGATAGACAAGACAATTCTCTGACAAAGCGTATGCAGCAAGCTCGGGTAAGACACATCGGCAAGAAATGACATCGGCTCAAATCAAAGCTTCGGCAACCGGATGACAAAACATCGGCTAGGGAGGACGACACTTAACTAAGCTGTGCCACACCTTGGCCGGGGTGTGCCACATCTCGGCCTAGGCCATACCTGCCTGCGGACAAGGTTGACTAAGTGCAAAACATCTCGGCAATGAATGCCCGAGGTGGAGGTGGGGGTCGACCAAGATCTCAAAACAAATCTAAGTACAAGGTTCAAAGGCGGACTAAGCTCAAGACGACCTCGGCCACACACACACTAAGCAAAGAACAAAATCGTGCAAGCAACTTTAAGCAAATCAAGGCAAGACAAAACCTTCAAATTAACATAACAAACTGAAATCAATTTGTCTATGTTGATATGCATTTCATTTCTTTGACTTGTGTTATAAAGTATAGATTATCTTTGACTGAGCAATTCAATTTTCTTGTAATTGATTAGAATCCTTATATCTTATTATAAAGCTAATGGTTTAAATCTTATTCCTTTTCTCAAATTATGACTTTTGCTATACAAAAATAAAGGAAAAAGTTTCGTAGCTCGAATAAGTTGATCATGTTTTGCTGCTAACCCATAAGTTATAGTTGTTGAGATTATGTAGTTGGTCTAAAGTTTACTCTAATCAACTTGAGTTTAGTCAGGAAAAAATTAAATGCATTGCATATTATATATGCAGATTACAGACCTATGTTTCTTCTTCTACTAATAATAGCAACATAATAGTAAAACCTAGATTGTGTGTTTGGGAGTTTGGAGATTTTTGGGTGTCTTCGGAGTCGGATTGATTTTTGGTCCTGGCTGGTTTAATGGATCTTTTCGTTTTCGGGACTGCCATGTTAGGGACTCTTCTCCGGCACTGAAGGGTCCTCTGGTTTTGTCTTCGAATTTGTGAAAGGTGAGGCAATCTGCTCGCTGCAACGTGTGAATTTTCTAGTCTTTGGGTTGTAGAGTTAGTTCTTGTGGGATGTTCAAATTAATTCTGGTGATGTGCTTGTAGGGATGTTCATTTCCAGAATTTTTTTTTTAATTTTTTTTATGCTGAAATTTTCCAAAATTTTCCCCAATGTTTTTTGCTGATACCTATTGGTTTATTGGTGAAGTTTTTCCCCAAGAATGTTTGCTACTAACATTCTGTTTTGCCACTGAATTTGTTGCCTCTAATATTCTGCTGCTACATGGCGGTTTGCTTCTGAATGTTTGGTGAAGAATTTATGGTGGTAAATATTGTTTGCTGCTAAAATTTTGTTTGGGAATCCTTTGACTGTATGAAATTTTGTTTGCCAATCCATGTCAATTTAACAGCTTTACATTTCTCCATCTCATAAAAGCCATGTCAATTTTGTATGAAATTTTGTTTGGCAATCCATGTCAATTTTGTTTGGCAATCCATGTCAATCCTTTGACTGTAAGAACTGTTGGAAATTCCTCAATTTTGAAACAAATAAGAACATATATGCATTTATATTTCCTCAATTTTGAAACAAATAAATTATTAGAAATTCTATGATATACACCCTCTTCTAATATTGATAATAGTTTCTATTTTGGTCCACCCTTCTTTTTCTAATATATGGAATGTGAAAAAGATTTCTTACTATTTGTTTTCTAAAGATATATGTATAAATGAATCTGTAAAGTAAAATGAAGAAGTTATTATTTTCATGTGTATATTCAAAAAATATACCATTTATTAAGTAAAACTTCATGCTGAATGTTTGTTTAAAAAATGGTTCACCACACTGATTATAATACATAATATCTCACAACTTTTTGCATATTTTAATTTCTTTATTTTCAGAGGATGCAAACACAGGTGATCATGGCAGTTTTCAGGAAGCTTTCTTGATGCAATTTCAAAATCTTATCACCCCTATATTAGTGATTGGCCTGTTTCTTTCATCATTTTCATTTGGTCCTCGTAAGCAACAACAGGTAAGTTATATGCTTGAATATATTTCAGGACTTGGTTGTATGGGGCTTTTATAATCATAGACTCATAGTTAGTAGGATATATAGCTGAGTCGCATATTCAAGTTTTTCGTTAATGATATATATATATATATATATAATTTGAATGTAATTAAGATTTTTGTTTTATCTTTTTGGGCCTTAAAACTTTGGAAAATGATTCTTTGCAGATTAGTTTCCAAGAGTTCAAAAACAAGCTCCTGGAACCGGGTTTAGTAGACCATGTAGTTGTTTCGAATAAATCAGTTGCAAAAGTGTATGTAAGGAGCTCACCACACAATCAAACAAGCAATGATGTCGTTGAGGGACCAGTTGTCCAAGGACCTGCTGATCCAAGCAAGAGCCAATATAAATATTATTTCAATATTGGAAGTGTTGAATCATTTGAGGAGAAGTTGGAGGAAGCCCAGGAAGCATTGGGGATAGATTCTCATGATTATGTTCCTGCTACATATACTTCTGAAATGGTTTGGTACCAAGAGTTGGTTTGGTACCAAGAATATATGTTACCTCTTCAATTTTGTTATGAATTGAATGTCGTGTTGTGATGGATTGTTATTGATTGTGATAGACTAATAGTAGTAGATAGTTATTGATGATGGATTGTGCTGGATTGTGTTGTGACTATTAGAAAGCACAAACAGCAGGTGCTGGACTAATGGATTTTTGGTATATCATGATTGTTTCAATATGTCAGCACCTATACTTGGTGTCCCTCAATTTTTTTGTGAGTGAAATCCCACAAACTCAATTCTTAGCAGTACCAAATTCATGAATATAATGCAAGCAAACTTAAAAAAAAAAATGTAACTTGAAGATTGTCTTTCATGTTGGTTCATGTGGTTTTGACACAGTGAAAAATGCAGATTCTGATACATCCAGTGACAGTTAAGTGTAACTCATGTACATTCAAAAACCAGGTCAACCTGATTATGAAACTTGGGCATCATCACCTGCTGATAAAAATATAAAAACTGTTTACGGTATTAGAATTGGCCACAAGAGCACCCAAGTTGCAAATAGAAACAATGCATATACCAGTCACCAAAAGCAAAAGTAGATAGTGTGTCTATCCTCATAAAAACAACTAGGTCCGTTGATCCCAAGCACACAAAAAGTTGAGTGATTAATCTGAAACAGTTTTTATGGGACCATATGACATGAAATTAAAACAGTTTTTATGGGACCATAATCTAAAATCCATCATTAATCAAAACAGGGACACAAGAATAAATAAAAAACCAAACCATCCATTCAAGTCATCCATTCAAATGGGACCATATGACATGCAATTACATATCATCCAGAACCTGTTTACAAAAATAGTAGAACATAGACATTGAACAGGTTTCTATTTGTTCAACAGGTTGAACAGTGTATTACATTGAACAGACATTGAACAGTGTATTACATTAAAAATAAATTGGGGCATTTGGATCCAATAGTGATGGTACTGTAGAACTTTGACTGCTTAGATTGTTGACCATTCCTGATGTGCTTTCAATATTGTCCGGCGTTCCCATTGTGCAAACCCGTGCCTATAAAAACAAGTACATATTACAAAATGATTTTAAAAAATATTGACCAATACATTCATCGTTACAAATGTGTACTTAAATATTGAACACGTACCGGTACAGACATGTTGTCTTCTGTGCCCACCATAGAAGGAAAATAATAAGCTTCATCATGGGGCACCTTATGATTATATAGTAAGACAATGTTAATAATAGTTTGAAGCATTACCATAAAACCCAACAAGAAGCAAAGTACAATATTTTAAGTCCATTCAACACATACCGGAACATACATACTATCTTGTGTGCCAACCATAGAAGGAAAATAGTAAGCTTGATCTTCCGGCACCTATCATGAAATAGTAACACAATTTCATTACTTATTGTAGCCATTCAACTATGAATCCACAAAAAAGGTTACGAAACAACCTATGCCAAGTATTTACCTGTGCGGGAGTAGTCTTCTTGTTCTTTCTCTTCAACCGATTAACTATTTGATCAACCTTGCTAACCTTCCGCCTCGTACATGGACGTCCTCTTCGGCGAGCAACCAAAGGACTGAGTACCATGCGAGTGTTGCTTGCTTTTGTAGTATTCAGACGTGGCGGACTTTTCGGCGAAGTATGCGAAGGTGGTACAATACTAGTAGAAGGTGGTAGAGTACTAGTACATGGCACATTACTCGCAGTACCCGATTCAATAGTTTTCACTCGATCCTTGATTTCCCTCAGCCCAAGTTGAATCACTTTGTGTTTAGCATCGTCATTGGTGGCAAGTTATTGTTTGAATCAATATCCATTGTAGCTTCAAAGTTAAATACAATAGACAAATTAGTAAAAGAGCAAACTGAATAACTTTTTATAACTGGGAGCATGAGAGAGAGTAGCCTCAACATCTAGATTGCCTAATGCCAACCTAACAGATGTTGAAATTTCTCATAAATTTCTTTGGCAGCTTGAGCATGATCAAAGGTCACATTATAAGACACAAAAATTATACTGTTAAGGTATATGTGGATGATTAACTTGAATAAATAAATCTGAATCTCAGACAATGCATGTGAAAGAATAAATAAATCCAATTTTTTTTTTAAAAAATAATAGTAGATAGTGTGAAGGTATCACATTATAAGGCACAAATTTTTTTTTTTTAATAATCTCGGACAATGTGTTTTTTAGAAAGATTCAGGGTACATAAAGATTTGTTTGCCATAACAGATCTAATTATTTATTTCTTTAGAAAGATTCAGGGTACATAAAGATTTGTTTGCCATAACAGATCTAATTATTTATTTCTTTAGAAAGATTCAGGGTACATAAAGATTTGTTTGCCATAACAGATCTAATTATTTATTTCTTTAGAAAGATTCAGGGTACATAAAGATTTGTTTGCCATAACAGATCTAATTATTTATTTCTTTAGAAAGATTCAGGGTACATAAAGATTTGTTTGCCATAACAGATCTAATTATTTATTTCTTTAGAAAGATTCAGGGTACATAAAGATTTGTTTGCCATAACAGATCTAATTATTTATTTCTTTAGAAAGATTCAGGGTACATAAAGATTTGTTTGCCATAACAGATCTAATTATTTATTTCTTTAGAAAGATTCAGGGTACATAAAGATTTGTTTGCCATAACAGATCTAATTATTTATTTCTTTAGAAAGATTCAGGGTACATAAAGATTTGTTTGCCATAACAGATCTAATTATTTATTTCTTTAGAAAGATTCAGGGTACATAAAGATTTGTTTGCCATAACAGATCTAATTATTTATTTCTTTAGAAAGATTCAGGGTACATAAAGATTTGTTTGCCATAACAGATCTAATTATTTATTTCTTTAGAAAGATTCAGGGTACATAAAGATTTGTTTGCCATAACAGATCTAATTATTTATTTCTTTAGAAAGATTCAGGGTACATAAAGATTTGTTTGCCATAACAGATCTAATTATTTATTTCTTTAGAAAGATTCAGGGTACATAAAGATTTGTTTGCCATAACAGATCTAATTATTTATTTCTTTAGAAAGATTCAGGGTACATAAAGATTTGTTTGCCATAACAGATCTAATTATTTATTTCTTTAGAAAGATTCAGGGTACATAAAGATTTGTTTGCCATAACAGATCTAATTATTTATTTCTTTAGAAAGATTCAGGGTACATAAAGATTTGTTTGCCATAACAGATCTAATTATTTATTTCTTTAGAAAGATTCAGGGTACATAAAGATTTGTTTGCCATAACAGATCTAATTATTTATTTCTTTAGAAAGATTCAGGGTACATAAAGATTTGTTTGCCATAACAGATCTAATTATTTATTTCTTTAGAAAGATTCAGGGTACATAAAGATTTGTTTGCCATAACAGATCTTGACTCGCCGGTCTCATCGACCTCTCCGACCGCTGGATCGGTGGCTCCGCCACCTTCGTCCAGGTCTATGATATCATCGATCGTGACGGCGACGAAAATCAAGATCTACTTTCTCGAGAAACTCAACCGCAAGGCTGCGAAAGTCGGTGGGAAAATCGTCACCATGAATGCAAATAACAAAATCGTGAATATCGACGGCGATTTCAGGTTCATTAGTAAGACCCTTCTCGATGAATTTAGGGTTTGGGCTAATTGGTACTGTGTTGGTAACTCAATGAAGAGTCTTTGTGATGGGTTGGGAAAACCCAAGGATTTGTATCGTGGGCTGCCTTTGGCTGTCCCTAATTTGAAACAAGATATTAGTGATAGAGTTAGGGCTAGGGTTGCTGCGTTGAGACCTGAAGGTCCGATTTCAAGTCGATTTCTAGCAAATAATTTGACTATTGTTGTTGGTGACTCTGTGTTTGTTCATGGATGGCTTTTATCAAACCATGTTGATTACGGGTTGGATCCAATTAACGAAGAGGTTATGGATTGGATTAGCATTGAAAGAGAGTGTTTCAAAGAAGTTGATTACGGGGAGGAACTCGGTTGTTTGGTTGAGGAAATTATCTCATGAATTGGCTCATCACTGCAATTGTTCGACTCTTGAACATGTTCGTGCCACCATTCCTGGTGCAAAGAGGATTGATTGTAGTAGTAATTTTTGTTGTTAAGGTACACTTGCTTTCTAGTTTAAAAGAAGAAAAAAAAATGGTTACACTTGCTTTTGCAGTGGCAGAGGGAGGAGGAGGGCTAGCTGCCGGCAGTGGTAGTCGCCGAAGTTGTAGGGTTGCGCAGAGGAGAGACGTGAGTTTAGTTCCAAGTTTGAGGAGCGTATAAAAAGTTAAAAAATTATTTAAAAAGTTAAAAAGTTATCACTATTTATTAAAATTCAAAAATTACGGCTGTATAATTCTTAATATTAATTTTTTTTTACACACTAATTTATACAATTTTTTAATATATATTTTTTCATAAAAATTTAAAAAGTTAACCTAAACATTCATATTTTTTCTCTCAATTTTTTAGTTTAAAAAGACAAAAAGTACATTTATTTAGAACACTCTAAATAATTTCACTATAATTTGAAATTTAGAGTTAAAATATTATTTTTTTTAAAACTTTTTTTCTTTTTAATGTGATGATAAGAGATAAATTGATACGATTTTAAAAAATTTAGAATAAAATTAAAATTATTCAAAACTAAATTTGGAGTCTAATTGATCATTAAGACAAAATTTGGGGGTTAAAATGAAATGCTCTCAAATAATTAACTAAAAAAATTTGATGCTGCTTTATGTGTTGCCAGTCCAGTCTTTGTTAGATTGTATGACAAATTCATCCACGTGAGTGAGCACCAAGAAAAAAGCTTCAACTATCAAGATTCATGTGAAAATGTAGTTCTATATAGGTGGATTACCCTGAATGTCTGACATATTGGTCCAATTGCTGAAACACAATGCAAGGGAATTATGGTAAGTTAAGCATACTCAAGCAACATCTAGGCAGGGTGTTTCCATTTAGGGAATGTTTGGGATGATTTAAATAAGTGTATTTTTTAATTTTTCAAACTAAAAAATTGAAGAAAAAAATATGATTGTTTAGGTTAATTTTTTGACTTTTTATGAAAAAATATTTATTAAAAAATTGTATAAATTAGTGTGTAAGGGAAAATTAGAATTAAGAGTTGTGCAGCCGTAATTTTTGACTTTTGATGAATAGTGATAACTTTTTAACTTTTTGAGTAACTTTTTGATTTTTTGACTTTTTCGCCACATGCCAAACTTGGCCTTACTTTACATCACCAAAAAAAAAAAAAAAAATTTGTCATTACACATCTTATTTTTTAGGAAAAATTATCAAAAAGTTCCATATAAGAGTCAATTACTCCAATCAGCCTCATGAATTTTTTAATACATTCATAGGTTTTGTTTGTTTTGACAACATTACCGTGAGATTTTATTTTAAATTTTAGTATAATTTTGTAGATGTTTCCACCCTTCCTCATTGGAGGACATCATCGTAGGGAGGTTGGATCCAATTTTTGGATCACGTTTCCGTCACTCCAATATAATAATCAAACTCAAATGTAAACTCAAAAAAAAAAAAAATTATTTCGTGTATTTTTCTCAAACGTAACATATCTCAAACGTAACATACTAAAAAATTTCTCCAATTACATAATAGTATAATGTAACACTCAAAAAATATAACACACTAAAAAACATGTAGTGTACTTTTTCAAAACGTAACACTCTAACGTAACTCTTCAAATGTAACACTTTAATGTGACAATCAAATAAATCATTACATATCCAAAAGGACTAAATAGATTCCAAGAAAAAATATGGGATTATATGGATTACAAGTCTAAAATATAAGATTTCTTGGTCAATCTCCCTATTTTTGAGGGAGGCCAAATTACACAAATAGTCCATATAATTTGGGACTCGTGTCACTTTGTTCTCTGACTTTTCAATTGTGATACATTTGATCCTGAATTTGAATTTTGTTCCAAATAAGGACAATTGAAGATACTATTGTTTAATTTTAAGAGCAAAATCATTAATTTAATAAAATATAAACTAATTTGACAAAAACAAATGTCAAAAAAATATTTTTAATTTTTTAAAAATTATTTTTATCCACCAATGATAAAATTATGTAAAATTGATAAAAATTAATAAAAATTACATGATTAATTTTTTTAAATTAATTTTACATGATCATTATCTAAACACATAATAAAAATTAATTTGGTAAAAAAAATAAATAAATGTCTAAAAGATTTATCAATTTTACATAATTTTATTTTTAGTGGGTAGAAAATAATTTTTAAAAATTCAAAAATATTTGTTTGACATTTATTTTTGTCAAATTAGTTTATATTTTATGAAATTAACGATTTTACCCTTGAAAAATCTAATGATATCTTCAATTGTCTTTATTTGGAACAAGATTTAAAATTCGGGATTAAATGTGTCACAATTGAAAAGTCATTGACCAAAGTGACACGAGCTCCAAACTATAGGGACTATTAGTGTAATTCACCCCTCCTTTTTTTTTTTTGCGAAAAATTGCAAATCGATGGTATTTTTACAAAATATTTATAAATTTATGAAAAAACATATAACTTTAATTGTTAAGATTGATAACTTTTACATTAATTTACAATATTTTTTTTGGTGTTGAAAAGTTGGACTGAAGTGCAATTTTCCCTTTTCTATTTTTGTTATATTTATCCTATTTTTGTTATATTTATCCTACATAACATCCAATTCCTCAAATCTTAAAATTTGAAAACATGAATTACTCTACCCACCAACTTCGAGTCTGGATCCTCTGTTGTGGTTTCTTGCAGTGGTTCTTGCAGCGGTT